ACTAGAGGTGTCTTGCAACTGGTACAAATCCCGGCCCATGCCATAACCGACTGCTGATTTTGGCGATGTTCGACAATGACCCACGTGCCGGGAGCCTCAGCGGACCAGCTCCTGTTGTTTTGGTGGTTGTGCCCCTGCTCGATGGTGAACAACTTCACGTCCGTGGACTCCACCGCTGACCAGTGGCCTGATCCTTGAGTTGTCGACATCTCTTCAGCCGTACGCGCTTGTTCACATAAAAGAGGAGCTGAACTTTTTGGAGCTTGAACGCCTTGAGGTTGAGTTCCTTTATCGCTATTCGGTGTGCCGACGACTTACTTATGCCAGTCTCACGGGCGATTTATCACCTCGAATTTCGTTGAAGTCGCTTTTTGATGATCTTACGGTTGGCAGAAGTGTTGGCGGTGCGCTTTTTTTTTTCTCCTCCGGCACGGTCGGCTTCATGGCCAGGCTCACCGAAGCGACGGATGGCCTTGGACACAGTTTGTTGAGGCACTTTGAGCAGCCGAACAATTTCACACTTACGTTATCCGTGACGAAATAGCTCAATAGATTCACTTCTGTTTGACATCCTAAAAACACGACAGAATAAGTTAACACAAAGTCGACATATAATGTTTTAGAACACCCTGTTTAACAAAGGTCTGTTTGTCCCAATTCAGGGCTCCACAATATTTGACAAATCTCTATGAAACTTTGATACCATATAGAATTATGTCTGGAAAGGATCAGTGTACTATTTTAAAGCCTCCGTAATATGCAAATGATTTAGATAAAAGGTTAATTTGCATATTCGTTTGTGGTTAACATACGTTCCCATGATATTTGACATATTTGGATAAACTTTAATTCGATATACGGGTAGGTATGGAATGAAACTCTCTACCCACCATGACCTAGTACTACATGTGTAGACATGTGACAATTTGACAATTGAAAATCATTTATTGTCATCTAGACAATTTTACATCTCACATGAGAGAGAGAGAGAGAAGAGGAAAATATATACATATAGAATTAAAGATATACATATATGGTCAAATTTACAAAGGGGACGATGGTAGGAGACCTCGGCGCTGGAGGGTCCTGGACCAGGCGAAGAGCGGGTCCTCCACCGCTTCTCCGAGCCCAAATGATTTCAACAGGAGGTCAGGACGGCAAGGCGGCCCTAAGCTCAGATAGTCCCCTGAGAGTAAGGGAGTCTAAGTCCCGAGTGGAAAGCTTATCCAGGATTTGGGCGAGAACTTTCTTGTCCCCCGGCGAAAATCTCCCGAGGAAGCCCTCCCTATCCTCAGGGTAAAGCACCGCTTCCACGAGGTCAAGCTCGAAAGAGTAGAATTGGGGTAAGGGCTTCGGATTGAATTCCTTCATCAATTCAAAGGTCAAAAGTTGCAATTCCTTGCAACGTTTATCGATTGGATCAACCTCCATTTGGGCAGATGGGGGAGGTGGAGGTGTCGCCATGTCCGGTGTCGTCGTATCCCCATGGGGAAGGGGTGGTATTGGCCCATCAGGCCGAGGTGCAGGCAGTGGGGGTGTAGGTGCTGCGGCTGGTGTTTTCGTTAGCTCAGCTCTAACCTGACCAAGGACCTTATATAAATTAGAGGTGTGTCCGGGCTTCAGGTCCAGAATTTGACCGATCAGGCCGACGAGGGCGTCGCACTGCGGAGGCGACAGGAGGGGTCCCTTCCTCTGCGCCTTGGTCCTCGAGGAGAGGAGGTCCAGGACCTCCTCCCGCCCAAGACCAAGGGCGTCCGTCTTAGCGAATGACACGCTGGGGAGCCCCTCGATGAACGCATCGAGGTCGACTCTCGTTGCGTTTTTTGCCGATGACGTGGAGGACGCAAAGGTCTCCTCCACGATGGACATCTCCACGTCCGGTGTTGGGGCCGCAGGCTCGCGACTCCCAGGTGTTCGCAGGGACGGAGCAGGGGTCACTGGTGGAGGGGCCGGAGGCGTGTCCTCCAAAGGTAAGGCCGAAGGCGCTGGTGGTGATGGCTGGAGTGCAGCAGGTGGAAGGGGCGCAGCTCGACTCGCGGGAGGCACGTCGGAGACCTCCATGGTTGAACTGGGGGACGCCGGAGGTGGAGGCCGGGCAGATGGCTGCTGAGGCAGCCTGGGCGCAGTCGCTGGTGGGACGCTGGTGGGAGAGGTTTGTGCGGCCGGTCCAGGAGCGGTGGTTCGCCCTGCAAGCATGGGGCAGTTGGCCCTACGATGTCCTTGGCCACGGCACCTGGAACACCTAATCCCGGAGGATAGGTATGCGGGCCAGGCCTCGCCCTTGATTGAGATGTCGAGGCGGGTGGGCAGCCTCTCGATGGTCATTCCCTCGCGGAGGATGATGAACGCCTCTCGGCGGCCGTCGTTGTAGACATATGGGCCTGCCTTCATCAGCTTGGGGGCGATGGATGTTACTCGCCCGAAAGATGAAAGGGCGCTGATGACGGCTGCATCCCCCACGAAGAAGGGGAGGTTGCCCACCGTGATTCTCTCCGCCCTCTTGCGGAACGGGAAGGCCCTGTGGAGAGTTCCCTCCACCTCGAGGCCCTCGTTGACGAGGCGCTCGGCCATGCTTTTGTTTGCCAGTCCCACTAGGAAGTGGCCGTTCATCTTGGTCACTTGGAAGACCTCCCTGGTGCTCCCAAACATTCGATCTATGGCCCTGATGTAATGATAGGGCTCCAGTTCAGGGCTGCGTTCTACATAGACGCAGTGGTCCTCTGTTGAAGACGCCTGCCGCGCCCTGGCCTCCGCGATATGCGCCTGAGTGGTCCTGACCTCCTCCGCCCGCGGTGCCCATCCCGTGGATGATCGTGGCCGGCGAGTGGCTCCTGCGCCTCTGGTGCCAGAGGAAGTAGCTGCCGTAGGGGAACCCGGCGAGTCGCGGCGCCTTTTCTTACTCTTGACGACGGTGAAGTTGTCGTCCTCTCCAGGGCCTTGGTCCTCCGCTAAGTCTGCCCAGCTTCTATTGGCTTGGGCAGCGGCCTCGGAAAACGAGGCAGTAACGAAGTCGGTCGGCGTGGCTGGATTTGCATGATGTCCGCCGGCGGGCGGATTTGCATAGCCTTGATTTTTGTTGAAAAGATTTGAAGCTTTCTTCTGCAAATCTTCTTTCTTAGATATTTCAGCACATTGTTGTGCTTTTTCGCCGTGCCTTGCAGGCTTTTGCTCGGCTTTTGAAGGGCTTTCAGCCCATACCATATTTGTCGCCATCCGCGACACTTTTCGCCCGCCAGAGGCGAAAAACTCAGGAGCTCGCGCGACGCGTGGCCGCACGGCCGTGTGTAGACATGTGGTGTACTTACAGTACAAACAGTCACAACCCTCTACCCACGATGGCCCGGTACTACATATGTAGACATGTGGTGTACTTACAGTAAAATCAGTCACAACCCTCTACCCACGATGGCCTGGTACTACATGTGTAGACATGTGGTGTACTTACATTACAAACAGTCACAACCCTCTACCCACGATGGCCCGGTACTACATATGTAGACATGTGGTGTACTTACAGTAAAATCAGTCACAACCCTCTACCCACGAAGGCCTGGTACTACATGTGTAGACATGTAGTGTACTTACAGTACAAGCAGTCACAACAACCTACACACCATGTCCTGATACTACATGTGTAGTAGTTATGTATATTTATTCATATGTTAATAATACTATGTAATTAATGATCTATGTAGTTAATATAATAATATCTAAATAAAGAGCTTTAAAACTTACATGTGTAGATATGTAGTGTACTTACAGTACAGGCCTACCTATTTCGATAATTCTATTATACCCATGATTTTTTTTCTTTTCAAATAGACTAAATTACGATTACAAAAGTTTGGTCATTTTCACCACCGATAAACCAGCGCCCTGCCAATATGTTTTTATCACACTACGGGGGCAGTATGAAGTTTAGTTTTAAAAGAAAAATAGTTCGTGCTAATAGTTCAATTTTGTTTATATAGATGGCGTTGATGTGCTTTAATTGACGCTTCTATACCTTCAGTACTATTGCAACAATAAGCTACCTACCGTTGTGGAAGCTGACAGTCAAACCTCCAACCCTTCAACCAAACGACAATAATATTTCTATAAAAAATAGACACTTCGGCCAGTTGGAGTTTTTTTATTTTTCTCAACATTTCGACAAAAATCTTTTGTCTTCGTCAGGAGAAATAAATAAAAATAAAGCATTTGCCAAGACAATTTGGAAAATTCTAAAAATTACGTAAGAACGCCCTTGCAACCTCAGAACAATTTTTAACGCCAAATGCTTTATTTTTATTTACTTCTCCTGACGAAGACAAAAGATTTTTGTCGAAACGTGAGAAAATAAAAAACTCCCACTGGTCGAAGTGTCTATTTTTTATATAAATATGAATGCCAGCCAGGCAAACTCTATTATTACGATACGACAATAATAGTTAGAAGAGACACATATTCAAGCTATATATTCTAAGTGATTAGAGATTAGTTAAGAAGTTTTCTAATAGTTAATTTGTAAAGTGAGGCATCACAGTATATATAACTAATCATTTTTCTAACTACTCCTATAAAAGATTGCCTATTGATTTCTTGATAGTTTCTGGGGAGCTCTTACCGTAAATTAAACGAGGAATTGTTGGAAGATTTTTTTTAATCTGATAAATTGAGGATGAGGGGGCGGGGGTTTGTTGGGTCATCTTTGCTACCTCTTTCTTTCTGGTTGCATAGGTTATAATTTATAATACAATATAATGCGGCTTATGATTGTAGAACGAAAATTGAAATTTTACCGCGAATGTTTCTTTTGAACGAAAAAACGAAATTTATTTTAAGGAGAAATAGCGATTATTTCTAACCTTAGAGATGAAGTATGATAGGATGAATTGTGAAGAGTAATGATAAACGGAAAAATAAAAGTGTCCAGGGATGGGAATCGAACCCACAGTGTTCCGCTTACCGGGAAGATGCCATGTCCACTAGGCTACCCTGGACATATTTTTTCCGTTCGCTCCAGGGTAGCCTAGTGGACATGGCATCTGCCCGGTAAGCGGAACACTGTGGGTTCGATTCCCATCCCTGGTCACTTTTATTTTTCAGTTTATCATTACTCTTCACAATTCATCCTATCATACTTCATCTCTAAGGTTAGAAATAATCGCTATTAAAATAAATTTCGATTTTTAGGTTATAATGATAAACGTAGTAGCATGCTATGATAACATTTTTTTTTGTCTGATTGTATTGTGATAAAACCACATGTTTGAATTTGTAGTACCTGGCTATATATGGTGGGTAGAGGGTTGTGACTGTAAGTACATCATATGTCTTCATATGTAAAGCTTCACGATTTTGCGTTTCCATCCTTGCGCAGGGGCCATACTGATCTTCTCTGTATCGTTCCTATTGTAGGTGTTGTACCGCCGAACTGGTATCAGAGGGGCCATACTAATCTTCTCTGTATCCATCCTATTGTAGTAGTTATACCGCCGAACAAGAGTGTACGTCTACAAATGTAGTATCAGGTCATGGTGGGTAGAGGGACTGATTGTACTGTAAGTACACACCATGTCTACATATGTAGTACCAGGCTATATGGTGGATAGGTAGAGGGTTTTGGCTATTTATACTGTAAGTACACCACTTGTCTATTACATGTAGTACCAGGCCATGGTGTGTAGAGGGCTATGACTGTAAGTACACCACATGTCTACATCGGTAGAAAACAGTTTATATTTTGCCATGTACCAGATCTCAATTTGGTTACTCACACTCGTCTATAGCATCGAACTTATGCAAGGATCTACATAGAAGTTTGATGTTAAAATATAACACCAACTGAGTTTAAATATTTAACAAATAACCAAATATAAAATTCCCATATATAAATAATACTTTAAATATATATATATGTGGTAATAAAATATTCATCTAGGACATTTTAATTGAAAATATATTCAAAAATATATAAAAACAGTGAATCTTGGGTTTAAACAATGGGGACACCGGTTTTTGGTAAATTCAATTAACCAAACAAGTATTTCATTGTTTTGTTTTATCTCGTTGTTAGCACTTTAGGTTAATTCTTGGTGACTGGATGACCTTTGTGATATATTGCTGAGTTTAAATATATTTAGGACTTCCAAGTCCATCTTGCTAAGTACACTTAATCTGGCAATTAGCTATGTTAATTAACCTGCAGTAAACTCTAGAGAATTAGTAAACACACTATCATTGTAATATAACATTAGCTAGTCTCATGTGAGATGAGGAAATTAGAGGATACCTAAAGCGAAATGTGCGCTTTGTTGGTAAAATATCCTTTTAGGTTTTTTTTACAAAAGGTTTATTGTATTTTTATAGTATTCATTAGTTATGAATGATGGTAGAGCGCCAGCTAGTGGAACAGAAATCAACTAAACGTTGATTTATCCTGTTCCCTGATATTTGAGTTAATTTGATAAAATGGGTTAGCTAAATATCAGGGAACAGGCTAAATCAACGTTTAGTAAGTTTCTGTTCCACTAGATGGCGCTCTATCATCTAAAAAAGCTCATGTGCTCGTGGTCAGGATATTCCTTATTTGTTTTGAATATAAACACCTGACCTCTTTATATATTTTAAATAGAAATATTAATATATTAATGATAATGCACAATTTGTATTATAGATTATAAACACAAGGTAATAAGACCAAATCCAAATAAATAAATAGTGTGTGAAGTTTCGGTAACAGCGTTGTTACCATCTTCATACAAAAGTACTGAATGAGAAATTTTACCACAGCATGTTTCAAATAGTTACTGTTATCAAAACATTCTGTGGTAAAATTTCTCATTCAGTACTTTTGTCTGAAGATGGTAACAACCCTGGAAACGTCACACACTATTTATTTGGATTTGGTCTTATTACCTTGTGTTTATTGATATATTGTTGTTGTTGTTGTTGTCGTGTCCAAAGAAGAGCTTCAGATGTCTCCATGCATCTACATCACAGCAGCAACAATATCCACTATCTTGGGTGTGTAAAGCTGCTGCTCTGGATTGATATATTAAATTTGCTATAATATCTCTAATGTCGGCTTCCATTTAACCCAAGATGACGGGTCCACGCTGGGCAGACCGTGTCAGATGAAGTTATGGCTAAGTGAGATTGTTAACCAGGTTAGAATGGTCCTAGAGGCTAACCCAGTTACCACGACAATTGTCCCATTAGCCCCGACATTTATTTGACATTCCCTTTTTCGACCGCAGCTTTATAAATAGATCAAGTTCTTTTTATTTATCGCTAAATCATATCAAGGTTTTCTTTATACATTTTATGTTTGGGAATTTTATCGAGAGTTGGTTACATGGTGTTTGTCGGGTTTTACAGATTTTACTTTTATTCTTTAATTCATTATTCTGCTAGTCTATATCTGTGGTGGTTATAGAATTGCTTGTAACTGCTTGTAGTGTAACACATCTAGTATCACTACACTTCACACATTTATAAAGTGTCGTATTCCTGTTTGGTTACACATTTGTCTGGAGATCAGCACAGACAAAAGTTGTAATACGGAAAAGTGACCCAACTTGAAGATAGATTGATGTTATTCCCCACTTTCTATAGTTACATATTATTTTGGTTATGTTTATCCATCTGAGAGAATTCTGTATGGGATTATTTTTAATATATATATAAAAGGCATCTCCTGACCACGAGCACATGTGCTTTTTTAGATGGCAGAGCGCCATCTATTGTTTTTTTCATATATATATATATGTTTAAAAATAGAGTAATCCATATAATAAATTATTTTAAAATGCTTATTTTGGATCATAAATGTTAATTTTCCAATATTTCGTGAGGCAACTCGCCAACTTCGTTGTGAGATCTCAAAACAATCTTGTTCCCCGAAGAAGTTTGGCGAGTTGCCTCACGAAATATTGGAAAATTAACCTTTATGATTTAAAATAAGCATTTTTAAATAATATATATATAAATTATCAAAGGCAAAATTTGGATTATAGATTGTGAACACAGAGTAATAATACCAAATAAATAAATAGTGTGTGACGTTTCGGTAACAGCATTGTTACCATCATCAAACAGAGTACTGAATGACATATAACTCATTCAGTACTTTAGTTTGTAGACGGTAACAGTGCTGTTACCGAAACGTCACACACTGTATTTGGACGTATTACTTTGTGTTCAAGTATTGTGAGAATACGTCCAAACCTGACAGAACTACTCAGAGGTTTGCGAAAGGGGACAGCCTGAGGATGCGGTTCTAGAAATAACTTGTGAGTCTATTCTCCTAATCGATCCGCAGTTTGAGGGGAGTTGTAAAAAAAAGGGAAGTGGACATTCCGCTAGGAATATCTCGCCGCACAATCACATTCTGTTTGTCTGGACATTTGGCCTAACTTCAACAATGGCAATTCTCCAACTGTTAGCTGCACTTTCTTGAAGAATGTTACACAGTTGTCATTTGACCAGAATGTTGCTTCCATGTTTATATCAGGTTTACCAACATAAATCATTTGTCAAGTGATAGTTGTGGAGAGCTTTGCTTTCTTATATTTATATAAGTTAAATTGCCTTCTATCGTTATTTATTTTTGAAAATAGAGCAATCCATAAATAAATCTTTAATTAAAAAGGTATATATTGGAACAAATTATCATTTATTTTACCAATATTTCAGTAGACTGAATAAAGGTTGGCGTTCAGTGAACTGAAATATTGATAAAATAAATTATATTTTGTTCCAATATATGTCTTTTTAATTAATGAATCGCTTTTTATATAAATTCATTCGTTTATATCGTTCACTCATTATAAATTCAATCGTTATTTATATAAATACAATTGATTTCTATCGTTAAAATTAGCATATGTATGCACCTCTACAGACCTATAAGATTATTGCCATAGGTTTCCTAAACACCCTTAAGCTGACTTCCATAGAAAATGCAGGGTATATAATGAAACCAATCCAATACAATAATAGAGCTGTCTGGAGATTGATTTGGCGAAACCACTGAGAAGGTTCAACACTAATGAACCAAGCCTTTTCTCATTCAATAACTTTTATCATTTCAGTAAAAGGTCTGAAGAGATAATATTTGAGGATATTATTAAAAAGAAACGCATTTTTCCAGAAAAATAGAATTGTTTTAAATTCTTAAGATATATTATGCTGGCATTTAACACGAACGGTTAGGATTTGTTTTTCAACACTGCTTATGTTTCAAGTGTTATTTGTGGAGATCTACGCTTTCTTAAAATTGATTCTACTTACACTCATGGACAAACCTTAAGAAATTTTACCTTTTCGCATGCATATCGGGATTCAGACAATAACTCTGAAAGATATTACAGTGACCTTTATTGAAGACACACGAGATAACCAAGTGTGGACAAAATTGCCTCTGTCTCCTTCAAAAAAACAGACGACCGACGACATCAAATATGAAACATATATACAGTCACAACCCTCTACCCACCATAACCTGGTACTACATATGTAAACATATGGTGTACTTACAGTACAAGCTATTACAACCCTCTACCCACCATAACCTGGTACTACATATGTAAACATATGGTGTACTTACAGTACAAACTGTCACAACCCTCTACCTACCACGGCTTGTTACTACATGTGTAAACATATGGTGTACTTACAGTACAAGCTATCACAACCCTCTACCCACCATAACCTGGTATTACATATGTAGACATGTGGTGTACTTACAGTACAAGCTATCACAACCCTCTACCCACCATAACCTGGTATTACATATGTAAACATGTGGTGTACTTACAGTACAAGCTATCACAACCCTCTACCCACCATAACCTGGTACTACATGTGTAGACATGTGGTGTACTTACAGTACAAGCTATCACAACCCTCTACCCACCATAACCTGGTATTACATATGTAAACATGTGGTGTACTTACAGTACAAGCTATCACAACCCTCTACCCACCATAACCTGGTACTACATGTGTAGACATGTGGTGTACTTACAGTACAAGCAGTCACAACCCTCTACCCACCATAACCTGGTACTACATATGTAAACATATGG